TTCAAAAAAGTAAAAAACTTATAAAATTATAAGGATAAAAAATATTAAATAACATAATTTTTTTATAAAAACGTTGTTTTTTTAACAACATGAAACTTTGTAAAAAAATATTTTCAAAAACATTGATAATTTTTGAAATAATGAGTGGTTCATGATAAAAAAATCAYTGTATATATGGATTTATCTTTAAATGTTTATTTCAACGATTTGTTATATTCAGAACAATAAGTGTATAAACGGTATAAGATTTTTTTTGTGGCGATAATGAAGGAATAAAGAAACCTACAAGTGACGGCACTTTGACAGTTAATTAACCTTTAAGCAAACGCGTGGGGGTCTAGTTAACCCCCCTCAACAATGAAACTTATATACTACAAAAAATATAATTTTTTCTAGAGATAAGATGGATTGTATGAACAGTTTTAATTGGTTTTCGTAAAATAGAAAGTTTTAAAATATATCAAACAGCTCCTAAATGGGAGAGGTTTATATTTACCCCCACACGAGTTGGGGGAAAATATGAAAAATTAGTGTAAGACAAATTCAGTTAAAAGTAACAACTTTTGTTTATTGTCCTAAAAATAAGATTTTTAAATTAACATTTTACAATGCAATTTTCAAGTTTGCTTATAATTTTGTTTTTCCTAATATAATTTTTAGTAACTTACTAAGTTATGTGTTAATTTTTATTATTACATTTTTATCCATATTTATCCATCATGTATTAACAAGTGTGAATTATGTCTTTGAATTTAAAAAAATGAACTTAATGTACTTTTGTTATGCATTTTTAGAAAGGGGATCTGATAGATCTCCACGTGACTGTGAAAGTTAAAAAGAGGCACACGCCTGGTTAAGGGTTAATTAGTTACAATTATTATTATTACATTATTATACAGTTAGGAATGAGGTTAGGTTATTATTTTTTTTTTAATTGAGCAGTTCCTAGAACTACCGCCTTTTCAATTCCTTTTGGGGATCGACAGGAATATTTGCTGACGCAAGACTTTTTATCAAGGGATTTTCATGGTTTTTAGATTTAAGTTAAATCGTTTATAGAAGGTTTTTGCTACATCTTGGACAGAAGGTGATCATTGTGGAGGGGCAGATTTAGACTAGAAACGCTGTATGCAATTTATGTTCGAAATCTTTGCAGAGCCCGATAATTGTACACCATACGACAACATTGGTTTTAGGAACAGTTTATGTATTAGTATTTTCGTTAGTAATTTGATATGATTGGAAGTTAGGAGAAAACAGGTTAGGTTAGATAAAAACGATCATTCAGGGAGAGGACTGTATTGCATAAGTGTGGCAACCAAGTAAAGCGTTAGTCGATGATGATGCCTTGATGGCTAGATAGCAAATGTGTTGGGTGGTTGGTAGTGTTTCTTCATTTAGGATAATGGGTATTATATTATATATTATTAAATATTTTATATTTATTTTGCAAATTCTTGACTTACATTTGGTAACTAAAATGTTCATCCACTGTATTTTTGAGGATTAGTAAGGCATTTTTGGAATTATTTTTTAAACTTATTTTTATGTTATATCCATAGTGCAGTCTTCATTGTGTATTCTAATTCATACCTTTTTTATAATTTTGTGTAACTTATTTTTATGTTATATCCATAGTTATAGATGAAATTATCAATGAATGTTTTTTTTAAACAAAAGTTGAAAATTAATTTTACAATGTATTTATAATATAAAATAATAATACCATTGTTGAAATAAAATTGATCAATCTTTGTTTGTCACACATGCTTGTCTGGTCACAAATTTATTTTATGTACTTATAAATGAGAATAAGAAAGTTTATTTTGCATTTTTTAGTTTTTAGATCATTTTCTTAATTTTTTAAGGCATTTTAGAGTTTTTGGAGCATTTTTCAGTGTTTGGAAACCAAGTATGAATTTGAAATTTTATTTTAAGATTTTTACACCAACATGGTTTTTATATAAATATTACAGATTATAAGTAGGTAGGTACTCGTAATTCATATTATATTATCGGACAAGGTTTGAGTAACTACTACCCGCATTTCCTGTTAAATAATCTTAAATCGGTAAAATCGACTTCCCATGATATCGTTTGACGTTCAGTGTGAGTTTTGTCGTCGTAACACCGTTTTATTACTCTAGTTAATTTTTTTTTGATAATTTAATGTAAAAATTCCAAAAGTAAAATGTTCGTCAGCGAGTCGACTRCGTGCGTTTGTACAAGAATTTGGACATAATATTTTTTCTACTGACGGATTGGTGTTATTTTGTAAAATATGCAACGTAAAAGTTACTGCTCAACAATTTACCGTACTACAACATTTATCAAGAGATAAACMCATCAATGGAGTAGAACAGAGTTAATTAGAAAACGAGAAATAGAATACACAAAGAAATACCAAACAGGTCGAAATATTTTTTAGATTTAACTTGTACATTTTTGTCATGTAATATTCCGTTAAATAAACTCAAAAATCCTGCGTTTTCTAAATTTTAGGAAAAATATAGCAATAAATAAACGCCTGATCGCTCTACATTATGAAAAAATTACGTCAGTATATGTTACGATGAAACTATACAGATTATTAGGTCATACGTAGAAAATAGAAAATTATGGGTTTCTATCGATGAAATGACGGACGTCAATGGTCGTTATGTTGCCAATGTTATAATAGGTACATTAGAAGTAAGTAACATAGGTAAAATGTTTTTATTTAATTTAGAAATATTAGAAAAACCAATCACAGTACAATTGCCAAAGTTTTCTGTACCTAAGTCTTTATCAATATTATGGTCACTAGGAATAATGCACGATAATGTCCTTTTATTTTTAAGTGACGCTGCTCTGTACATGGTAAAATCAGCCACATCGATTCAAACTTTTTATTCAAAAATGGTACATGTTACAAGCGTTTGCGCACGCTTTGCATAGAGTTGGCGAAGAAATAAGAAAACATTTTCCAGATGTTGACGAATAGATAAATAACCTTAAAAAAGTATTTTTTAAAGCACCGTCGTGAATCTAAATATTTAAAACAATGGCACCAGATATTCCACTACCTCCTCGGCCTGTATTAATACGTCGGGGAACTATGATTTTTACTTCTATGTACCTACTATTGTGGACATTTTGAACTGATTAAAGAAATTATAAATCAATTAGATGCAGAAGACGCAGTTGCAGTTTCTAAAGCTCAGATATTTAAAATCACCGATAATGATATATAATAAATTATTACCAGTATTCAATTTATTGATTAATAAATAAGTGTTTAATTGTCTAGGATTAGATCGAACAACTCAATATTTTCATATCTG